TTAAACTAAGGAGCTTCTGCACAGCAAAGAAACTATCATTAGAGTGAACCGGCAACAAACAGAATGGGAAAAAATTTTGCAATCTACCTATCTGACAAAGAACTAATATCCAGAATTATTTTCTTTCTTGTAAATTAAATTTACAAGGAAAAAAAAAAAAGCAACCCCATCAAAAAGAGGGCTAAGGATATGAACAGACACGTCTAAAATGAAGACATTTATGTAGCCAAAAAACATGAAAAAAGCTTATCACTGGTCATCAGAAAAATTCAAATCAAAGCCACATTGAGAGTCCGTCTTATGCCAGCTAGAATGGTGATCATTAAAAAATCAGGAGACAACAGATGGTGGAGAGGATGTGGATAAATAGGAATACTTTTACACTGTTGGTGGGAATGTAAATTAGTGCAACCATTATGGAAGACAGTGTAGCGATTCCTCAAGGATCTAGAACTAGAATGACCATTTGACCCAGCAATCCCATTACTGGGCATGTACCCAAAGGATTATAAATCTTTCGGTTATAAAGACACATGCACACATATGTTTATTGTGGCATTGTTCACAAGAGCAAAGACTTGGAACCAACCCAAACATCCATCAATGATAGACTGGATAAAGAAAATGGCACATGTATACCATGGAATACTATGCAGCCATAAAAAAGGATGAGTTAATGTCCTTTGCAGGGACATGGATGAAGCTGGAAACCATCATTCTCAGCAAACTGACACAAGAATAGAAAACCAAACACCACATATTCTCACTCATAATTGAGTGCTGAACAATGAGAACAAATGGACAAAGGGAGGGGAACATTACATACTGGGGCCTATTAGGGGGATTGGGGGCTACAGGAGGGATAGCATTAGGAGAAATACCTAATGTAGATGATGGGGTGATGGATACAGCAAACCACCATGGCACGTGTATACCTATGTAACAAACCTGCACGTTCTGCACATGTACCCCAGAACTTAAAAGTATAATAAATAAATTTTTAAAAAAATTTACAAAAAAAACACATCGGGTCAGAGAAAAAAGTGTTTATGTTAATCTTCCAGGAAACTTACATATAAAACTGTCAAACTCTAGGCATTTAACTGCTTATTTATCTAGTGTTACTGAAGTGCTAAGGAGCAGTACTCAACAAGAAATCTTTCCACAAATACTCATATCTATGCTATATGTGAATATATGTGAATCTGCCAAAGATAGTATTAAAAACAACCAACTATTATAGCCCCAGACAGACTGATTAGAATAAACATGGGTTACAAACCAAACCACTGATTAGGCCACCTTCTTTTTAGGCTCAACATTGATGATGAGCTAACAGAATCAACAAGAGCTAATAAATTTCCTGGACACTTGGTATGTGCTGGGAACTCTTCTAGTACCTTTATCAGTACTAATTGCTTTAATTTTACCAATACCTTAAGATTTAAGCACTATTATCCTCACTGTGGGGCTGAAGAGTTAAGCACAGAGAAGTTAACAAACTGTACCCAGGTCATACAGCTCATAAGTGGCAGAACTGGGATGCAAACAGAAATCACCTGATACTAAGTTTTAACCTTAATCATTATGCCCAACACCCTCCTACCTAATGCTTTTTTTTTTTTCCATTTCTGATCTAACATTTTGGCTTTGAATTTTCTAATTTAGTAGAAACTAAAAGGAATTTAAAAATCACTATTTATACCCTAACGTAGTATGCAGAACTTGATTTTTGGTTTAAATTACTTATTACTAAGCCTAATAAAAATAATCAAGGAGTTGGCTACAGTTAGTTAACTAAAAATAAAATCTGTAGACTAAACTTCACCTACTAAAAGGCAGAGGCAGGTGGATCATGAGATCAGGAGTTCGGCACCAGCCTGGCCATCATTGTGAAACCCCATCTGTATTAAAAATACAAAAAATTAGCCAGGTGTGGTGGCACATACCTGTAATCCCAGCTACTTGGGAGGATAAGGCAGAAGAATCACTTCAACTAGGAGGCAGAGTTTGCAGTGATGAACTGAGATCATGCCATTGCACTCCAGCCTAGGCGAGAGTCCAAAAAAAAAAAAAAAAAAAAAAAAAAGATTCTGAAGGGGATGCGGTGAGAGTTTGAGACCAGCCTGGCCTCATGACAAAACCCTTTCTCTACTAAACACAGAAAACTTAGCTGGGCATGATGGCGTGTATCTGTAATCCCAGCTACCTGGGAGGCTGATGCAAAAGAATCACTCAAATCTGGGAGGCAGAAGTCACAGTCAGCCAAGATTGGGCCACTTCACTCTAGCCTGGGTGACAGAGCAAAACTCTGTCAAAAAAAAAAAAAAAGAAAAAAAAAAAAAGATTCTGCATAGAAACATAAGTTGTGCTATATCATAGGAAAATAAATTTAAAATTGTTCATTTACCATTAACTCTATTTAGAATCTAATTTCTAAAATATATTCTTTACAAATTTTGTATTTGCCATGCATTTTGTAGGAATAAAACTTTTTTTAATGAAGAAAAACAAAGATAACATATAATCTTTTCACTTGTCAACAATGTACGTCTGTTCTCTTAAGCAGCCTGAAAGTTATAATGATAAGCAAATTCTTCAGTTAAAACCAATTTTTCAGTGCATTAAAGAACACCAACTTTCTCAGTAGAACCTACAAAGTACCACGTAAAATGACATGACATGAAGACAACAGTGAGAAAACTGTAATCATAACACAGAAAAAGAAGAAAGGTTGTGATACATACATAGTTGGAATACACATAATAACACAAACAAAACTGAAGATATTTAAAAAGAAAAAATGGAGAATTTGTGTTTAAATTCAACAAGTCAGCTTTGCAGCCTGAAAATAAATGTCCTCTCCACTTGATGAATAAATGTTATTTCTTCACCATTGCTATTTTCCATCTCTGACTTGAAGTTACAAACTAACTCCAGCAAAAATATTTATGACTTATAAAGCATATTTTACTCAGAATAACTGTAATGATTGTTTGCTACATTTATATGTAAAAACATCCTTATGACTTATGAAGTCTCCCAAGTACTTACCAAAGCAACTTGTCTCACTCAATAGATTTACTTATGTCAATTATAAAAAGTGAAAGAAACAGTAACTATAGAAAATTAGGCTTATAAAGGTTTCTCCAATAAAACAAAATAAAATGTTTAAATAAAATATAACAATACACTAATTTTAGAATTACATCTAAAAATTATTTTGTGTGTACTCTCAAATTTTATACAAATCATTCTTAGAATCTGTCACCAGTTCACATTAAGTAATTTATAAACTATAAAAGCAGAAAATGATGGGTCTAGCATGAGTACTAAACAAGAAAAAACAGAGAATATGCATAGGGAGATCCTGAACCATAAGCCCTAACATTTTTCAGCAATGAATTCGATGCAATGCACAAAGTTTTGATTTGCTTTCAACATGATTGAGGTTTTTAGTTTTTTAGCAAGCTAGTCACCTTATTTTTTTGTTGTTCCAGTACTGCTTTTTTCTTTTGAAAACAGATAAAAACTTATACTCACAAACACACTTACTTCATAATTTTCTTACACCTAAGCTAAATCTTTAGAGTAATATAAGTAAATATTTAACTCTATGTAAATCAAAACTAAAAGTCTGTGTTTGCAGGCCTAGAGGAAACATGTTCAAAGAAAACTACATGCCAAATTTTTTAAATATGCAGGACTTAGAAATGTATCATTTTTATTTATACTTCTATATAAATTTTATTATGACCATAAAAATGACCCTGTAGTCAAGAACAATTATGAATTTTAAAATAAAGTACTTTTAATGTTTAAAAATAACCAAAGGTATTTTAAAATAAAGTATCTTAAGTTACTTTACTAAACAGATTATACTAAAAAGAGTACATGTTAGAAGTGATGAATACCTTATTTATCCTGATGTAATGATTACACATTATATGCCTCTACCAAAATATGCCATAGATGGTATAAATATATACACATACTGTGTAACCACAAAAATTAAAAAGAATAAATTCAAGTGAATAAAAGGATAAAAATGTAACCTATGGGGAAAAATAATTAACTTATTTGCAGTTTGAAGCCACTGGCAGAAGAGATTGCTAGAGGTGTTATTCCACTATGTTACCAAGCAGTATATCGCTACCATATTTTACCTACACACTTCAGAAAGGTGTAGGTATGTTAAAATTAGTGAAATAATAATGCTTCATTGAATGCACAAGTCTTTTTTTTTTTTTTAATGGAATTTTGTTGTTGTTGCCCAGGCTGGAGTGCAATGGTGCGATCTTGGCTCACTGCAACCTCTGCCTCCTGGGTTCAAGTGACTCTCCTGCCTCAATCTCCCGAGTATCTGGGGTTACAGCCACCCACCATCCTGCTCAGGCCGATCTCAAGCTCCTGGCCTCAAGGGATCAGCCCTCCTCAGCCTCCGAAAGGGATTACAGGCATGAGCTAGAATGCATAATGCTCTTAACGTGATAAAATATTAAAAATTAAGTCCACATATAATCTAAGTAAAATCAGCAAAATTATATACTATTATTTTAATTAATTTACATTTAACTAAATTTAAAAATGTTTTTCTCTCATGATAACATGGAAAACTATTATTCTGGACAACTACCTCATACATTGCTGACTAAGTTAACCACAAAGAGCCTCTCCACAGACTCTTATCATGCATCTTACATTTCAATGTCCCTACTCTTTTATAGAATAGGTCATAATTCCCACCTAATAAGAAAGTACCATTCATATCTCTGATGCAGCAATAGTTCATCACATTCTTTCACAGGTGAATACAATAGAAATAAAGAAACAGCATGAAGGAATTTGAGAGCTGAATTACATCATTATTTACTTTTTAAAAGTTTTATAATTCCATCAAAAAATATATTTAAATGTAATTATAACTTTTCAAAGAAACTTCTCATTTTAAAGTTATATAAAATCAATATACATACCAACTGTAGTTCTGGATTATTTTCTATACTCAGCACTCTGATTTAGTTTAATGTCTGAAGTATTAGTGCCTTAGATATTTCTAGTGTTAATTCTCTGATACTTACACAAACTCAATTAGAATTAAAATACTTTTTTCTACTTATTGCATCTGCAAAAATATATTTTAGTATGAACTCTCTGTTGTTTTCTGTAGTTTTTGAAAAAAATGTTTTTTCCAAATTCATTACATTTGCTGAATTCTCCAATATAAATTCCCTAATGTTGAACAAAATTTGAGCAACTGCTTTAGGGTTATTCTCTAGTACAAACTGTGTACAAGAAGATCTATGATACAAGTAAAAGTACTACAAACCTCTTTATATTTGTAATGTTTGTCTTCAGAATAAACTCTTCTTCACTATAAAGGCTTATATTTCTGAAAGATCATTTGACAGTAATTGCATTTAAAATACTTTTATTAAGTACGAACTCTCTGATGTTGAATAATATGAGTAGATATTAATGACTTTTCCACATTCTTTACATTTGTACACCATTTCTCAACTATAAATGCTTGTCTGTGCAATAAGCTGTGAACATTGGTTAAGAGTTTAGCTATATTCTTTACACTTGGGACTTTTCTCTGGTATATTTTACCTGCAATCAAGTGTGAAAAACATTTAAAAGCTTTTTCATATTATTTCTATTTCTACAGTTTTGAACTAGTATAATTTTTTTATGTTTAGAAAAGTTTGAGTTGTTGTCAAAAGCACTGACAGCATTCATAATTATAAAGTTTCACTCCAGTATGAAACATTTATATCTGTTAAAAATTGAGGACTTGTTAAGAGCTTTGTTACACCTTTCACACTTGTAGGATTTCTGTCCAGTATAAATTATGTGTAATAAGGGTTGAGAACTTTTAAAGGCTTTGTCACATTCTTCAAATTTGTAATAATTATCTTCCACATGAATTCTCAGGTTTAATGAGAGTTGAGAACTGGGTAAAGACTATAGGCCACATTCATGACATCTGAAGGGTTTCTTGCCATTGTGAATTATTTTGTGCTTAGTAAATGTACAGGATTTGTTAAAAGTAGGATTTCTCTCTTATTATGAATTCCTTTATGTTTAGCAAGGATTGAGGAACAGTTAAAAGCTTTGACACATTTTTCACATTTGTAGGGTTTTCTCCAATGTGGATTGTTTAGTAAGGTTTGAGGAATGGTTACAAGCTTTGCCACATTCTTCACATTTGTTGGGGTTCTCTGCACCATAAATTCTCTTATGTACAGTAAGTTTTGATAAATAATTAAAAGGTTTGCCACATTCTTCACATTTCTAGGGCTTCTCTCCAGTATGAATTACCTTGAGTAAGTTTTGAGGTACGGTTAAAAGCTTTGCCACATTCTTTACATGTGTATGTTTTTTTTCCAGTATGAATTATGTTGAGTAAAAGCAGAGGGCTGCTTAAAGGTTTTGCCACATTCTTTACATTTGTAGGGTTTCTCTCCAATGTGAGTTCTCTTATGTTTACAAAGGCTTGAGGAATCATAAAAAGCTTTTCCACACTCTTCACATTTGTAGGGTTTCTCTCCAGTATGAATTCTCTTATGTTTAGTAAGAGCTGAGGACCAGTTAAAGGCTTTGCAGCATTCATCACATTTGTAGGGCCTCTCTCTAGTATGAATTCTCTTATGTTCAGTAAGGTATGAAGATCGGTTAAAGGCTTTCCCACACTCTTCACATTTGTTGGGTTTCTCTCCAGCATGAGTTCTCTTATGTTCAGTAAGGTATGAAGACCGGTTAAAGGGTTTCCAACACTCTTCACATTTGTAGGGTTTCTCTTCAGCATGAATTATCTTATGTTGATTAAGTTTTGAGGTACGGTTAAAAGCTTTGCCACATTCTTTACATTTGTATGGTTTTTTTCCAGTATGAATTATCTTATGTTGAGTAAAAGTAGAGGGCAGCTTAAAGGTTTTGCCACATTCTTTACATTTGTAAGGTTTCTCTCCACTGTGAGTTCTCTTATGTTTACAAAGGGTTGAGGAATCATAAAAAGCTTTTCCACACTCTTCACATTTGTAGGGTTTCTCTCCAGTATGAATTCTCTTATGTTTAGTAAGAGCTGAGGACCAGTTAAAAGCTTTGCAGCATTCATCACATTTGTAGGGCTTCTCTCTAGTATGAATTCTCTTATGTTCAGTAAGGTATGAAGACCGGTTAAAGGCCTTCCCACACTCTTCACATTTGTTGGGTTTCTCTCCAGTATGAATTCTCTTATGTACAGTAAGGTATGAACACCGCTTAAAGGCTTTCCCACACTCTTCACATTTGTAGGGTTTCTTTCCAGTATGAATTATCTTGTGTTGAGTAAGGGTTGAGGAACGGTTAAAGGCTTTGCCACATTCTTCACATGTATGGGAATTATTTCTAATATGAATTATCTTATGTCTAGTTAGTTGTGAAAGCATACAAAATGAATCACCACATTCTTTACATTTAAAAGTTTTCTTTTCATTATGTCTTACCTTATGTCTTTCTGAATTTAAAAATTTAGAATAGCCTTTTACATATTTATCACATTGATATATTTTGCTCTGGGTAGTTATCAGACATTGGTTAAGTCCATTATAACCTCCTTTGCACATGGTACACTCATTCACATGTTCACAGCCTTTTCTTAATTGTAAATTTTCATGTCCACATTTATCATATCTCCTCAGTATGTCTTTTTGGAACAAAACTTTTATGCCTTCTTCTAGCCAAAAGTCTTGAGCAAAATGAGAACACGTAACTAAAAGAAAATAAAACAACAAATTACTCCACTTACTAGACTCAGTTAAATATATTTTTACAAATATAACCTATAAAACTGTATAAACTACATAAGCAAGATGGCATAGCAAAATACCACAAGCTCTAATTTATTCATAAACATATAAATGTAACAAAATCACACTGACCAGAATACATTTTTGGAAAATTTATAAATGAGTTAAGTGTGTGAAGTGAACACAAGGTAAAAAAGGTGAACACAAGGTAAAAAGCAACATAGAAGAAAAAGAAAAATCTGTTAAATCAACCCGACACGGTAGTTCCTTCACCCCAGTCAGTATAACACAGTGCCTGTGGAAGTAAATTGCTAACTCTGTTTCTATTTAAAAGACAGGAAAAATATTGGCACACACATTTATTATGTCTGGCTCTTTGGGTCTTTCAATACACTGGTTTTAGTCTCCCATTAAATAAAGTACTGAAAAAGAGTATACTTTGGAATGAGAATCTGAGACTGCTGAGACCAAAGGTAAACATTACAGCAGTAGAGAGACTGCAGTACCAAAGACAGGGAACAAGTATAGCAAGTGATTAATAACTAGTAACAAGAAATGCAAATAAACTTTTTAAACTAGAAAATAAAGAAAACATTTCAGACAAGACACATTCTAAGAATGTATCTGAAAGGCTCCCAGAATATCTCGTCCTAACAACTGGTTTCAGGTTATGCCAGGACAAAGCTACATTATAAAGGTTGTGTTAGGTAACTATATATATATATATACACACACACACATCTCCAAGTCTCAGTCAAAGATTACAATGTATACAAAATATTAGGGCAACACAGCCCCATCAAAAAAAAATTATGAAATTTTCAGAAATCAATTATTATAAAGTAAAAATGTATAGATTTTAGAAATTTAAAATAAGTTGAATAATAATAAGTAAAAGGAGCACAGACAACTGTTGAAAATCAGAAAAACAAGAATAACAAAAATATTAAAAATATTTTAAAAACAGTAATTGTGGAGGCAAAAAATACAAAAAGAGATAACCAATTTTTTAAAAAATGTACAAAAATAAAGAAGTTCAACAAACAAACTAAAACATACACACGAGATATTTATAAGTATAAACTTATACACTAAACAGTGAATTTTTCAAAAGAAAATTTTTCAGGCCTGAAGAAATCTGTGTCATATTGTCAAAGTCCTGAAGAATAATAGCTGTCAAGTGAGAATAATCATCAGCAAAAATGCCCTACCAAATAATAATAAAAGACCTCCCAAAATAACCAGAGACAGTATATTGACACAGCATATGACCTATATATCACAAACATGATGAAAGTTTCTTCCACTGAAAATAACATGATGCAAGAAAACAATACATAATCATATAAAAATACTTAAGTTCCTGGGAAATGTACATACACAAAAATAGAAATCCTTAGTATTATCATGATGGACAGAAAACACTTATTCTCTAAAATTTGAAAAATAAAAGTACAGAAATTATTGTAAATATCTGTTAATAAATATACAACTTAAAAGGATATAATCAGTAACATCAATAAAAAAGTTGAGGGCAGACATAATGTGGAACAATTTTTGTAAGTAACTGAAGTTCATTTTTCACCAGATTAAACATATACTGTTTTATCTTTTAGAGGTTTCATGTAATCTTCGAGATATCACAAAGAAAATATTGGTATAAATACCCAAAAGAAAATAAGAAATAAGTGAAAGCATATCAATACAACAATGAAACAGACACAAAAGACAGAAAGAGAGAAAATGAGGATTCCCTAGCAAGCAGACTCGGATGGAAATCCAAAAAAAAAAAAAGGGAGAAAGACAATGAGGGATAAATATATAAGAATCAAAATAATTAATAAAATAACATTTGGAAGTATCTGTCTTCCAGAAAATTACTTACATATATACATAATTAACTTTTTAATCAAGAGACATACCTTCAATAAAAGGATTTATTTAAAAAAAATTAAAACTCATGACCTGACTTGCCTTTCTACAAGAGTCAGTTAAGAAGTAATAATTTAGGCCGGGCGCGGTGGCTCAAGCCTGTAATCCCAGCACTTTGGGAGGCCGAGGCGGGTGGATCACGAGGTCAAGAGATCGAGACCATCCTGGTCAACATGGTGAAACCCCATCTCTACTAAAAATACAAAAAATTAGCTGGGCATGGTGGTGCGTGCCTGTAATCCCAGCTACTCAGGAGGCTGAGGCAGGAGAATTGCCTGAACCCGGGAGGCGGAGGTTGCGGTGAGCCGAGATCGCGCCATTGCACTCTAGCCTGGGTAACAAGAGTGAAACTCTGTCTCAAAAAAAAAAAAAAAAAAAAAAGAAGTAATAATTTAAAAAGTCTGAAAGTGGCAAGATTGAAGTAGGCATTTTATCCAAATGTTAACCAAATGAGAGCAGAAAAGGTCAAAGTAATATTATACAAGCTACATTTTAAGTCAAAAACTGTAATATTATATAAAATGTATGTGAAGATAAAACTCCAAAAAGACAAAGGACATCAAACAATAATAGATTTATTCACTGGGAACTTATGAAAAATGTGTGTGTGTGTGTGTGTGTGTATGTATCTCATATTAGGTTTTCAAATTTGTAAGGTAAATATCAATATCATTGAAGAAATACACAGAAAGCAATATAATTATAGTAGGATATTTTGACATCTCACTTTCTCTGATAATGAAACGAGAATGTTAGTAACAGTGAACTTGAAGGCAGTATAAAACAAGTATTTCTAACAGAGATATAGAGAATACTTCTCAACATCAAAAAACACACCTTTTGCAATAGCTCATACAACATTCTTTTTGATAGACCACCTGTTAGGTAAAAAAATAAATCTTAACAAATGTTTTAAAATTAAAATTTCAAGCCAAGTGTGGTGGCTCATGCCTGCAATCCCAGCACTTTGAGAGGCAGAGGTGGGAAGATCACCTGAGGTAAGGAGTTCAAGACCAGGCTGGCCAACATGGTGAAACCCTGTCTCTACTAAAAATACAAAATAAGCCAGGTGTGGTGATGAATACTGTGATCCCAGCTACCTGGAGGCTGAGGCAGGAGAATCACTTGGACGTGGGAGGCGGAGGTTGCAGTGAGCTGAGATCATGCCACTGCACTCCAGTCTGGTAGGTAGAGCAGGACTCCATCTTAAAAAAAAAAAAAAAAAAAAAATTGGCCAGACACAGTTGCTCATGTCTCCACTCCCAGCAGTTTGGGAGGCCAAGACAAATGGATCACCTGAGGTCGGGAGTTTGAGACTAATCTAGCCAACATAGTGAAACCCTGTCTCTACTAAAACTACAAAAATTATCTGAGCCTGGTAGCATGTGCCTATAATTCTAGCTACTCAGCAGGCTAAGGCATGAGAATCGCTTGAACCCAGGAGGTGGAGTTTGCACTGAGCCAAGATGTGCCACTTTACCCCAGCCTGGGCAACAGAGTAAGACTCTGTTTTAAACAAACCAACCAACCCTAAAATTTTATGGATTACTTTCTATGAACAAAATGGAATAATAATATAAAGCAATAATGGAAAAAACTGAAAAATTCACAAATATATATAAACAATACACCCAAGCATGCTCTTGTTCAAAGATTAAAATAATTAACATTGTAAAGATGTTTATACAGTTTAATGTAATCTACATATTTATAAAGGCAAACATAGAGATAATTATATTGGCAATAGATGTATGGCTGATTCATATTTGATTTTGCTCCACACTGTCTTAAATTGTTCAGAACTAAATATTATCATAAACAAACATAATATAAGCTAAAAACTCAAAACACAATTAACTGGTATGAGGTGGCATGCTCTAAAATATATAACACAACAATTTAAAATTGCAAAACAAATTTAAAACATAGAATATAAAACTTATTGGACAGCATAAAGTAGATCAATATATTCATTAAAAAATCTTGGAAGAAGACTATAGGGAAAAAATAATACTGAGTTTACTCGAAAACAAAAAAGACTAAGTACTTCCCAAATTTATTTTAAAAAAGACCAATAATAGTTGACTTGAAATTATTTTACTTCAAAAAAAGATAAAAATAAAGATTTTCCAAAATAAAAGATGAGAGTGTTCATCATGACTAGCACTGTCCTACAAAAAAATGCTACATGGTGGCAAGGCACAGTGGCTCATGTTTATAATCCTACAGTTTTAGGGGGCTCAGGCAAGTCAAATCACTTGAGACCAGGAGTTCAAGAACATCCCAAGGAACATAGTGAGACTTCACATATATATACAGAAAATGCTAAAACAAGTCTATTATGTTAAAAAATAAAATTCTACACAGCATCATGGCTTTGTAAATATAAAGCTCTCTATTAAATGTAAATATACAGACACACAAAAAATTATTTACTATAATGTGCATAAAAACCCTAACTTTCTTCTATAGAATATGAAAAACAAATATAAATCTGCATAAATCTGTTATTAGTTATAAAATGTAAAATAATTTATATTAATAACAAAAATATACAGTATTTGTATTCAATTGAAGTTCTTATGAGATTAAAATGTTTTAACTTCAATATATTTTATGTAATCTTCATTTTTCAAGATGATTATGAAGATTTTTTTAGAAAGCATACTAAACAAAATAAAAAAATAGTTAAAACATGTCACTACAAAATTAAAATACACAAAATTTAAGGCAGTAAAACAGGAAATGAGAAAAAACATATCCATAAGAAGCACATATAATAATAACAAAACTGGTAATAGAAATATTTCTTTAAGCCGGGCGCGGTGGCTCAAGCCTGTAATCCCAGCACTTTGGGAGGCCGAGGCGGGTGGATCACGAGGTCAAGAGATCGAGACCATCCTGGTCAACATGGTGAAACCCCGTCTCTACTAAAATACAAAAAGTTAGCTGGGCATGGTGGCGCGTGCCTGTAATCCCAGCTACTCAGGAGGTTGAGGCAGGAGAATTGCCTGAACCCAGGAGGCGGAGG